CCGCATTGCCCCTCTCCACCACCTCTCTCCCTCCGTTTCCTTGCATCAGGACGGGCACAAGATGGGCAAGTCTCTTGGCAACACTATCGACCCCGATGAATTGGTGACAACCTTTGGAGCGGACGCGGTGCGATACTTCTTCCTGCGCGAGATCGAGTTTGGCAGCGATGGAGACTTCTCTAAGGAGCGATTCGTTAACATTGTCAATGCCAACCTCGCGAACACCATTGGTGAGTGGGAGGTCGGGGGTCTAGGGGTTGGGAAGGAGGGGAGGAGGGCGGAGTAGGTAGGGGCTATTACTTCTTCCTGCGGGAGATCGAGTCTGGCAGCGATGGGGATTTCTCCAACGAGCGATTCGTTAACATTGTCAATGCAAACCTTGCGAACACCATTGGTGGGTGGGTGGGAGGTGGAGGAAAAGGGGGCCAAGGGGGAGAGAGAGAGGGGCTTGGGTGCTGGGTAGGTTGGCCACTTGGCCGCCAAGTCATGGAGATTGCAACATTGTCAGTCAGCGGATGGCTTTCCGCGACAGCGATTCGTTAACATCGCCAATGCCAATCTCGCGAAGTCACCGCAGAGCAGTGGTGGGGAGGCAGTTGGTTGGTATTTAAGAGGTAGTCACTAGGTGGGTGTTGCTATCTCGACTTTATATACATGTGTATACGTTTTCTTTTTCCGGAAAACGCTTGTGGACGGTGTGGTTCTGTCAACCAAGCGAGCCTGCAGCAACCTTACCATGCCTCTCCGCCTCTCCCCTTATCTACGCCGGGTCTGCTCAAGACGAAGTGCAGCAGCACATTCACAGCCCCTTCTACTTGCATCACCCCACAGCCAAAAGATCGCCATCCCTCTCACTCCCTCGCTCTCTCCCTCCCTCCCTCTCTCCCTCTCATCACCCCCAGGCAATCTGGTGAATCGCACGCTGGGTCTGCTCAAGAAGAACTGCAGCAGTACTCTTAGCATTGACTCCGCTGCTCTGCCTCTCGACCATCCTCTCCGCACCACCACTGCTGCATCTGTCAGTGCCCTCGCGCGCTCTCTCAATGTCTCCGTTCCTGTTTCTTTCTGCTTAATCTCCCAAATCACCCTCTTATATTTCCCCTCACTCACTTCATTCTCACTTTCTCTGGTGTCTCTCATTTTCTCGCTCACTTTCCTCACTTCCTCTCAGTTTCAGTTCTCCACATAGTGAGGGTGCTCTGTCACCATCGACAAATTATGGGTCTTACTCTACCCATGCTCTGTCTCTCATAAAGAGCCTCTGTTCCCAATGCACCCATTCAGTCAACTCAAGAAATGCTAACTAAACTGCTAACAATTTGTCTTTACCTCCGTTTTGTCTCATTAAAGAGGTCTGTCTCAATTGCCTCCTCCACCCATCACTTCCCCTCTTCCCTCCTTGTGTAGAAGGCATATGTGAGGCGATTCTTTCAGCAACCTTCACTTCACCCCTTTCTACCCCTCCCCACCGTTTTTGCAGATGGCGGCAGCAGAGCGTGCTATGCTTCTCTGGAATTCAGCGGAGCATTTGAGGCGATTCTGACATCAGATTACCAAGCACACCCCTCTGTACCTCCCACCCTTTCTATCCCCATCAACCCCCTTCATCCGTATTACCCCCACCATTTCCTTGTGTCCCTTCCTTCCTCCCCACAGATGGAAACAGCAGCAGCGTGCGATGCTGCTCTGGCCTTCAGTGGGGTGTGTGTGGCGATTCTGGTGCCAGCAGTAACTAAGGCCATCCAGAACCACCAACCCCTGCATCACGCACACTCCTACTCCTTGCCCCGCCCCCCTCATCCCACCCCGCATCCCATCCCACAGATGGCAACGGCAGCAGCGTGCTATGCTGCTCTGGACTTCAGTGGGGCATGTGAGGCGATTCTGGTCCCAGCGGCATTCCCACCACCACCCACCTCCCACCAACCATCACACTCTCAATCGATATGCCCCAACCCTGCCCACAGATGGCAACGGCAGCAGCATGCTACGCTGCTCTGGACTTCAGCGGGGCGTGTGAGGCGATTCTGGCGCCAGCAGCAGCGGGGAACGGGTTTTTGGAGGAAAGAGCACCATGGAGCAAGTTCAAGCGGGGCGGGGCAGAAGCAGAAGAGGCGGCTGCGGTGAGTGGGTGATTGGGATGACTGAGATGCGGTGCAGTGTGGCATGAGGCAACTTGCTCGCTTTCCTACCTTTCCCAGGACCTGGCGGCTGTGTGCTGGTGTTGGCGGTATTGGCGGCATTGCCGGCAACTCTCCCCATCACCCCTGCTCTTCAAGTCATGCCATTCTCTGCTCTGCTCTCCTACGTCCCTCGACCCACACTCTCTCCCCTCCCCTCCTCACCCTCCCAGGACCTGTTAGCAGTGTTGGAGACGGCTCGCTGTGTGGCCGTGGCGCTCTCCCATCACACCCACAATTCAACTCATGCCCCTCTGGACTCAAACATCTTCCACACCCCCCACAACTTCCCTCCCCTCCCTCTCCCCTCAGGATCTGGTGGCAGTATTGGAGACGGACTCACTCCTGGAACATCTGTTTCTGATAATGACTTTCTCTCATCCCATCTACCTTGTCCCCCACTCTAACCCATCCTCCACCCTCCATTCCTTCCCCCATCAGGATCTGGTGGCAGTGTTGGAGAAGGCTCGCTGTGTGGCCGTGGCACTCTCCCCCATCACACACTCTCCTCATCAACCCCACTCTCGGAATGACAAGTCCTCATGCCTTTCCCCACACTCCTTCCACCCATCCCCCCCTTCTCCCCCCATCAGGACCTGGTGGCAGTGTTGGAGACGGCTCGCTGTGTGCCCTCACTTCGCATAATGTCTCTCCCATCCCATCCCATCCCATCCCATCTCCCTTACCCCCCACTCCCCGTTTCTTCCCCCATCAGGACCTGGTGGCAGTGTTGGAGACAGCTCGCTGTGTGGCTGTGGCTCTCTCGCCCATCACCCCCACGCTCGCTCGCAGCATCTACACGCAGCTGGGCTTCACTGCTGAGCAGTTTTTCGCCATCCAATGGGTGCGTACCAAACCTGTCGATCTCAAACGTGTGTTTTGAGACATCTCAAGCATCACTCCCACGCTCGCTCGCAGCATCTACATGCAGCTGGGCTTCACAGCCGATCAGTTTTCCGCCATCCAATGGGTGCGCAACAAACTGCACACTGTGTGCATTGAATCTAGTCATCGTCCCCATGCTCGAGCATGCAACACATACACAAATTGAGTGTCACAGTGGGCGCTCACTGTGCGCTGCCCCTATAACCTTAAGCTCGGCCAAAGCATCTACCCCCCTAAAACTCACAGGAGTTTTGAACCATCCAATGGGTGCATTGTAAACTGCACACGGTGCATAGAATCTAGTCGATCATGCCGCTTCATGTCGTTCTAGTCATACATGACCCGACGTTAGTGCATGCCGCACCGCACGGTGTCATTCAGTCACAGCGGCGCTACCATGTTTGTCTTTGAAGCATTACCATTACCTCTCAATAGTGCACGCATCCCATTTGTAGTATATTGGAGTCACTGGTTCGCCCATCTACTTCTTCCCATTTCCCCAATATTTCTGCCCCTCTATCCCCCACTCATCCCCACTTCTCCCTCCACGTCCCCCCCATTTCCTTCCCCTGGTGGTCTGCAGGCTGACACGCACTGGGGGGGGCTGAAGGCAGGGCAGCAAACAGCAGAGCCAGCGCCTGTGTTCGCAAGAATAGAGCAGGAGGAGGAGGGGGCAGAGGCAGGCGCGCAGGCTGGTGGGAAGGGCGCCAAGGGGGGGAAGGGAAAGGGGAAGGGGAATGCTGCAGGGGGAAAGAAGCAGCAGGGGAAGAAAGGGAAGGAGAAGAGTGCAGAATTGACTGAGCCGGTGGTGGGCTCTAGTGCCAGCTGATGTGGTGGAATGTGCATTGGTCTCTATGGATGGACTAGTGAGACCACAAGTAAGACAGCAAGAAAGAGAGCAAGACAGCAAGCAAGACCGCAAATGAGCCTACGCATACGCAATGGGTCTGCCTTTTTCAGAATGAGCTGGCAATAATCTATTTGCTGCTGGTCAGTTGATTGATGGTGATTGGTGCACAGGGGATTTTATGTACCCTAAGCAATGTGCTGTTCAGCATTCTGTGAGGTGTGCGTCAGCAGCAGTGTTATCATGGTGTAAGTTGGTCCATATGTTTCCAAAATTGATTTCTGTACCCCTAACGATCAAGTAGCAAAGATGTTATATCAACAAGAGCTGTACGTTCAAATTGACTGTACTGCGCAAGATGGAAATTTGGGGTTGCGCGAAAACAATAGTTGGCTTGAACGAAAAGCATCCGGCGAGAGGTGATGTGTGAAGGAAACACGAAAAGGCGTAGCGCGTACGTTTACAGCTCATTCTGAAGGTATTGCGTCACGTGCAAAACGGTGGAGATTGAAAACCGCTGTGCACCGTTTTATATGATCTTGCACCACGACGGATGAACTGTAAACGAACTGAAAACGTAAGCGCTTGCCCTAATGGGAACACGGAATCTGCGCACCAATGTGCAGGCAGCTCGAGATCAAGCGGTTGGCTGCTCAGCGAACTTGGGATCTGGTCCGACGAATCAGGGCTGGTCCGACTTAGCAGGCCCCAATCAGAACCTGCAAACCACATGGCCCGTCACAGGTCGTCTGGGCAGGCCTGGTTCTCCCCAGTCTGGCGTGGTCTGCAGAGCCTTTGATTCCACGCCACTGCACTAGTGGTTAGTGGTTACCATGCTTCTGTGTAGGAAGTTTCCCATCTCCATTTCGACCCTGCAAACGTGTGAGTGATCATCCATGGCGGTTGATCCAGGATATCCTGATGCGCAGTCGTTATTTGTAGGCGAGAAGTTGGATGTTTTTCTGCGTTCACTAAAACTCTTGTTAGAGCATCCATTTAGGAGCACGAAGCTTGGCGTTCAGGGTAAAACTAACCTCGCCTTTTTGGTTTCGGCCATGGCGAATGACATTGCTCGGACGGCCTCGGATATGGTCGCATCGGAGGGAGCAAACGCGTCACCTAGCGCGGTGCCGCTGGGATCGCAGGAACAGCAGGCTTTATTCGTCCAGAAGCGGCAAGCGCTGCTCGACCTAGTCGACTACGCTGGTCGCGGACAAGTGAAATTCAACGAGGCGCTTCTTAAAGCCTTCGCACCCATGCTAAAGATTAATCTGGAAGTCGACCCGTGGCCGCGCCTGGAACTAATCTACCTGTGCCTGCTTCAGTATGTCGCGACGCGTTACTACATCGACCAGCAGTTCATCTTAAAGCTGCTGAACCTGTTCGACGCGGAGGACCCTCGCGAGCGGGACTATTTGAAGACTATTCTGCACCAAACTTACAAGAGGTTCACGTTTCACCGGCCGTTCATCCGTGAAGCAATTGGCAACACTATCTACCAGTTTATCGAGTCTGAACGGCATAACGGCATTGCGGAGCTGCTGGAGGTTCTAGGGGGTATGATTAACAAATTTGTGCCGCCGCTTAAGGAGAAACATAAGCAGTTTTTAGACCGAGTGCTGGTTCCGCTGCACAAGCCTGAGTGCGTGGCGATGTACCACCATCAGCTGTCGTACTGCATCACTCAGTTTGTCGAAAAAGACCCGAAGCTCGCGGATTTGGTGCTGCGCGGGTTGCTTAAGTTCTGGCCCTTAATTAACAGCCAGAATGAGCTGCTTTTCCTGGAGGAGTTGGAGAAGATTTTGGAGCTCACGCAGGCGCCCGAGTTTGAGATGGTCATCACTCCGCTGTTCCAGCAGATCGCGCGCTGTCTCAGCTCCTCGGACTTCGAGGTACGGTGGTACGGGGGTTCTCCGGGTGTGATGCGGTTCGTAGGGATTTGATACGGTCGTGGGGATGTGATACGGTGGTCGGGTTTGACAGGGTGTGGCGAGGTGTGAGGAGGTGTGAGGAGGTGCGAGAAGGTGTCATGGAATGCATTTTCATGCAGAAGCCGCTGATCATGATGATGGTCATGATGGTCATGATGATGGTCATGATGGTCATGATGATGGTCATGATGATGGTCATGATGGCCATGATGGTCATGATGGTCATGATGATGGTCATAATGGTCATGATGATGGTCATAATGGTCATGATGGTCATGATGGCCATGATGGCGTCTCTCAACCCACCCTCCCACCCCCCAACTCCCATTTCTCTCTCCCCATGCAGGTGGTGGAGCGCACACTGCGCCTGTGGGACCACGACTACGTCGTGACGCTCGTGGTGCATAATTCCTATGTCTCTCGCGCTCCCCCCTTTCCCCCCTCCCCCCTCCCCCCTCTTCCCCCCCGCAACGCAACCCTTTTCCTTGTGCCTTCAGGTGGTGGAGCGCACACTGCGCCTGTGGGACAACGACTACATCGTGGCGCTCGTGGTGCAGAACCGCGCCACTATCCTGCCGCTCATCTTTGCAGCGCTCGAGCGCAACGCCAGAAGATGCGAGGAGGAGATCCTGGTATGATGGTGTGGGCAGTGAGCACGGTGATGTGCTTGGATTGCTTCTGAAGTGATACGAGTGGTGGTCCCAGGACAACCGTAGGTGCATATAGGCTGTGTTTCTCTCATGCCCCATACATCATGCCCCATACATCATGCAGCACACAGGTGGCGGAGTGTGTCAGTGCCTCCTCTCCCCCTACGCTCTCCTTCGTCTTATGATGAGGCTAGCTAGCAGCAGATCCTCCATGCCTGACCCGATGCACGCATCCATGCTGTGCTGCTCTCATTCCTCTCGCTCACTCCTCTACCACCCCTCACCCATTGCTCCCCATTCTCTCTCCCACTCCTCCCTCTCATCTCCTCCACGCATCTTTCCTACTCTCCCTCACTCCTCTACCACCTCTTCCCTCACCCACTCCTCTCCATCCTCTCTCCCTCTCCTCTCCCTCCTCTCCTCCTCCACTACTCTACTCCTCTTCCTCCTCATCCTGACTGCTCTCCGCCGTCCCCTCCCGCATTCCCCCCTCCGACCTCCTCTTCCCCCAGGCGGTGAACGGGCTAATATCAACATGCGCAAGATGTTTCTCGAGATGGCCCAGCCCCTGCTTGCTTAATGCATTCTGTGAAATGCCCCTTCACCCTCCCCTCCCTGCTTTACCAGGCGGTGAACGGGCTGACCATCAACGTGCGCAAGATGTTTCTCGAGATGGCCCAGCCCCGCCCGTGAAGGACGAGTGCCAGCACCGGTTCCTCCTCTGCCCAACGCATGCTCTGCTGCTGCTCCCTTCTCTCCCCCTTTTCCCTCTCTCCTTTCCTATGCCCGTTTTCCGCTCCCCGTCTGTTCTCCTTCCTCTTCCTACCACTCGTCCCCTCATTTCCCCCAGGCGGTGAACGGGCTGACCATCAACGTGCGCAAGATGTTTCTGGAGATGGACCAGCCGCTCTACGACGAGTGCCAGCGCCAGTTGCTGGAGGAGGAGGGCCGCGCTGCTGACGTGGAGGAGGTACGCGCCGTCACGTGGCAACGCCTGGAAGAAGCAGCCGACAGCAACACACACAGCCAAGGTACCACGAGAGGGAGGCTCAGGTGGAAGGACACAACAGAGGACACGGTGGGTTGGGCCTTGTGCAAAGGGCGGAGACAGAGAGATCGTGAGGAGCTAATCACCAGCACTGGGGTCAAGGAGGGAGGAGGGGCAACATTTGTTCAGGCCCCTTTTGTATTATAGTAGTTGTGGTGGGTGTTCCAGGCCCCTTACCTGCTCTGTGTCTCCTTTTCTCTCTCGTCCCCTCTCTCATATTCCTTCACAGAAGCTCGCTTTGAGGAGGAAAATCCAGCAGCTGCTGAAGGGGCGGAAGCATCAGCATCAGCAGGACGGAGGGGGGAGTATGCTGGTGCTGCGGTAGAAATGGAAGTAGCACAGCCATATGTGTGTCGAGAGTACTGTTTGGCAGAGCTAACCGAGGCCACAGGAGAGTGGGCAGAGGACAACAGGATAGGAGAAGGCGGCTTTGGGGTTGTCTACAAGGGAGTGTCTCCTCACGATTGCAATCAAGCTTGGGCAGTCAAGCGAGCTCGAGTGCTCACAAATGACTTCCAGAGAGAGGTAGGTCGTTTTTTTTTTTTTTTTTTTTTTTTTTTTTTTTTTTTTGAACGTCCAGCCCGAACGAATTCAAGAGAGGCGTAGCATATTGTAATTTCTCGTTGGGACCATGTTTCTTTTGCCAAGTCCAACATCAGTTTTTGGTTGCATAGTTCATTCTCCTTTCTCCGGTTCATCATTTCCTCCCTCAGGTGAAATGGATGGCAAGCAAGCATCATCCCCATCTCGTGCGTCTGTTGGGCTATTGCATCGACTTTGACCCGTCCACACGAACCATGGAGCAGCTTCTCGTCTATGAGCTCATGCCCAATGGCGACCTTGAAAGGTGGATCGGCCCCGGTGTCTCTAACCCTCTCTCGCTGCTCCAAAGGCTGGACGTGTTGATTGGAGTGGCCAAGGGGTTGCAGTACCTTCACGACTTCAAGATTGTTCACCGAGACATCAAGCCGACCAACATTCTCCTTGATAAAAGGATGCAGGTATGCTCAACCTTTTCTATAGCAGGGTTGCATGTGGATGGTGGTGCTGTCCCACCCTTGTTGCATGTGGAAGGAGATGACGTCCCACCCTTGTTCATCCTTCTCAACTATCATTCAATGTTTGGAACAGCCCAGCAGAGAGTCGAGTCACCTAATCTCATGTTGCACGATCATGCTGTTGTTGTGGTTGATGATGGGCAGGCAAAGGTTGCAGACTTTGGGCTCGTGAAGCTGCTTGGAGGGACATCTATGGCCGCATCTGAGGCTTCCACTCGAGTGGTGGGAACACTGGGCTATATGGACCCTGAATACTACGAATCTCAAATGGCCTCTCCAGCAGCAGATGTGTACAGGTGAGTAGATTGGTGCAGGTGAGAAGATTGGTGTAGGTGAGAAGATTGGTGTAGGTGAGAAGATTAGTGTAGGTGAGAAGATTGGTGCAGGTGAGAAGATTAGAGTAGGTGGGAAGATTGGGACGAAATAACCATTTGATGTTCGTGACAACTTTGTTTTTCCTTCTCCACTATGTTACGCTTTCCTCTTGCCTCGGTCGCCTCCTTTCTGTACATAGCAGCAGTCCTTGGTTGCCGTTTCAGGCATGCCTTGCCATTCCAGGCATGCGTTGCCATTTCAGGCATGCGTTGCCATTCCAGGCATGCGTTGCCATTTCAGGCATGCGTTGCCATTTCAGGCATGCCTTGCCATTTCAGGCATGCGTTGCCATTTCAGGCATGCCTTGCCATTTCAGGCATGCCTTGCCACCATTCAAAGGCACTGAGATGCTCTGCCACTTGAAGAAAAGGGGCTTTGGACGCAAGTGGTTGTGCAGAGGACCATAATCATGTGGATGGTTGTTTTTTTAACAAAAAATGTTCAACTACTGGAGCTGTCACAATTAATGCCCTTTTTTATTCCCTGGCTTGCAGTTTTGGCATGGTGATGCTGGTGGTTGTCACGGGGCGTAAGGCTGTGCTGGTGATAGAGGGCAAGCGCGTCAACATCAAGCAATGGGTGAGGCACGGCGCACAATGGCTCACACCATGTTTATAAGTCCAAGTGCACTGCACATTGAATATGTTTGCTTGCTTTCCAGAAACATGAAGGCTTGATCATATGATCCTCTCTTCTTTCCTCCCACAACACACATGCCGTATTGAGGAAGGCAAGTAGAACAATGATAAACCCTCATCCCTTGCACATTCTTTCTTACCAGTCACCCTTTATTTCAAACCACGCACTGATCTTATGCCTCTGTATCTTTTGCGTTATCACCTGTACTCCCCTGTACTCCAACGCTACTACCGCATTCTATCAACATATTTGCGCTTCATGCAACACTCGTGAATTTTCTGGAGGGGCATGTATCGTATGGCATATCTCGTATAGCATATCTCGTATGGCATATCTCGTATGGCATATCTCGTATGGCATATCTCGTATGGCATATCTCGTATGGCATATCTCGTATGACATATCCTTTCCATCTGACAGGTGACCCCACTGGTGGACTTAGTAGCAATGGCAGCATTCAAGGACTCTCGTTTGGAAGCACCGGATTATTTGGTGCTGCACTTGTTTTGAGTCGACTCACAACTCTGTCGTATGCCATATCCTTTCAACTTGGCAGGTGACCCCTCTGGTGGACTCAGGAGCAGTGGCAGAATTCAAGGACCCTCACCTGGAAGCACCGGATGGTGTGGTGCTGCGCTTGGCTCGCCTTGCCCTCTCCTGCACTGCCCTGCCTGGGACCTCCCGCCCCTCCATGCTCCTAGTGCTGGCCGAGCTGGTTAAGTTAAAGCATGAATTTTTTCGGGGCGCAGGCGAGCGCGGAGGTTTCTGGCATGGACACGGGAATAGGAGGCTTTGATGGCTAATATGACTTCAGTGCTGAGATGGCCCGTGCGATGCAAGAGGTTGTTAGTGGCCCTCAACTACCTATCATTCCATAGGATAGGAGTAGGAGAACATGCACCACTTTTGAGGCACGCCAAGGGTCCTCTATCAGCATGCCGTAAGGTTACATGTGCTGCACTGGTACATATTCAGCATTGTGTAAGGTGCGCATTCTGTAGTTTCTGAATTCTGCACCCCATGTTGGTTCTTACGAGATATACCGGATTTTGGGGTGACCGTTGGGTAACAATCGTGACTGTTTATCGCCATGGCCCTACTGGTTGGGATGGGAAATTGGGGTTGCGCGAAAATTTACTAACTGGAACGAAAGGAAACAGGTGAGAAGTGATGTGGCGAAAACAACGAAACGATGGCGATTTTTTTTTTTTTTTTTTGGGCTTTAAGGAGATCCCCGGAGGAAACCAACCCCCCGTAGGAAAACGATGGCGATGGAACCAGGCGAGGGATTGCGCGGGAAAACGTGCTCAATGCTGCTGGCTGGGTGTGCTGCGAACTCTCAACCGTGGAACCTCACATATGATAATCCATAGCAGCCCAGTCCTATCCTACATGCCTAATGTGTGAGTTCTTATTCTTGGAAAAACCGCTAGACGAGCCGCTAGATGTTCTTATCAGTTCCCAGCATATCTTTTGGGAAGCCAGCCGTTTAGAAAGCTTGGCGAGTTCGGGGTAGACCTATTCTCGCGATTTGGTTTCCAACATCACCAGAAAGCTCCTCGCCTATGAATTGCTATTGCTGCCTGACTGAAACCAAACGGCGTTAGCAATGTCGTGTCGATATTAGCTAACGGTTAGGGTTCTACGTGCAGGAAGTGGCTTAGCATGCTAGAGTCATTTAAAAAGACGTTCATAAGGGGTCGGGAAAAGCAGGGTAAGACAGACGCAGCGTCGCACAATGCAGGCAATGCAGCAGCAGCTGCGGCAATTGCCGCTCGGGGGGGAGCGGACGCAGGAAAGGCGGAATGCTCGCATCCTTCTCCAGGCGGCACGAATCCAACGGCTCCCGCTCGTCGCAACCCGAACGAAGAGATTGCGCAGGCGACCTTGCCGCCTTTCGCGGAGCCGCTGCCGTTGTTAAAAGACGTGGGTGCGCAGGAGCAGCAGGCTCTATTCATCCGGAAGCTTCGCCTCTGCAGTTACCTCTTCGATTTTAACGACCCAATGAAAAACGTGAAGGAGAAGGAGATTAAGCGGCAAACGCTCCTGGAACTAGTCGGCTACACTGAATCCAGTAAGGCATTGAAAGAAATCAGGCGTATGCTGGAGATTAATCTCTTCCGGCCGTTAACGCGGTCCGCACACGGCGAGATGCCTAGGCCGACTATGGAAGCCGCGTGGCCGCACCTGGAATTAGTCTACGAGTTCCTGCTTAGGTATGTCGTCTCTGAAGACACTTACCAGTCGCATTGCATCGACCAGAATTTCATCTTAAAGCTGCTGAACCTGTTCGACTCGGAGGACCCTCGCGAGCGGGAGTGCGTGGAGACAAGTCTGAACCGGATTTACGATATGTTTAATGTTCACCGGCCGTTCATCCGCGAAGCGATTGGCAGCATTGTTCACCAATGGAAGTCGGAGCGGCGTAACAGCATCACAGAGATTTTCAGGTTCGCTATAGTAAAAGGATTTGAGCTGCCGCTTGGGGAGAAGGATAAGGAGTTCCTAGGCCGGGCGCTGTTTCTGTTGCACAAGCCGAGGTGCCTGCCTATGTACCACCACCAGCTGCCGTGGTACTGCATCATTCAGTTTGTAGAAAAAGACCCGGAGCTCGCGGAACCAGTGCTGCGCGGGTTGCTTAAGTTCTGGCCCTTAACTGACAGCCAGAAGGAGGTGCTGTTTCTGGAGGAGTTGGAGGAGGTTTTGAAGGAGACTCAGTTGCCGGAGTTTGAGATGGTCATGACGCCGCTGTTCCAGCAGATCGCACGCTGCCTCAGCTCCTCGGACTTCCAGGTACGGTGGGATGTTTGCGGTGCATTGGGAGGGAATGTGAGGGGTTGTGGGAAGGTGTTATCGCATGCATTTTCACGCAGGCGCCCGAGTATCAGATGGCCACGACGCTGCTGTTCCAGCAGATTGCGTGCTGCCTCAGGACCTCGCACTTTGAGGTACGGTTGGATGGGTTGTGTCGGGGTGTGGTGTAGTGCGAGGGGATGTGAAACGGTGGTGGGTGTGAGGGGGTGTGAGGGGGGTGTGGTGGGGTGAGAGGAGGTGTGAGGAGATGTGAGGGTGTGTCATGGCATGCATTTTTTAGCAGACGCCCGAGTTCCTGACAGTCATGACGCCACTGTTCATGCAGATCGCGTGCTGCTTCGGCTCCTCGCACATCAGGTATGACGCTCCCGCCCAATTCAGTTCAGATACGGTATGGTGCGGTGTAATATGGTTGTAATGGGGTGATATGCATTCTCGCTGAAGGACGCGAGATGTTACTATGGTCATGGTGCTGCTGTTTCAGCATATCGCATTCCAAGTTTGGCATTCTTAAAATAAAACTACGGGTCCTTTTTTTGGCTGTACGTTTTGGGGACGACATTAGGGTTTGGCCGATGTGATGGCTGCTGCCGCCTGTCTGTCGCGTCATGTGGTTCGCACCAATGGTCCCCAACTTTGGTCGCTTCCCCCATCTCTCTTCTGCTTGTGTCTTCTTCCCCCCTCACTCTTCTGCCTGTGTCCGCGTCGCCTTCCCACGCGCTTTCTGTGATTACCGATTTCATTCCCTCTGATCTTCGCCCTGCCCTTCCCGCTCCCCCCTCACAGCTTCCCATGACTGAGTGGCAATGGCCCATTGCATGGCCGTTATGCCCCAGCCCATACATCTGCCTTGCCTAGCTGTCATGCCTCATAAGTCATGCCTCACATGTCATCGTGCCTCATATGCCATGCCTAGATGTCATGCCTCGTAACTCATGCCTCATATGTCATCGTGCCTCATATGCCATGCCTAGATGTCATGCCTCGTATGTCATGCCCCACATGTCATGCCCCACATGTCATGCCCCATATGTCATGCCCCACATGTCATGCCCCATATGTCACGCCCCACATGTCATGCCCCATATTCCACCTTGCCCCCCCCCCCCAACCTTCGCCTTCTGCCTTCAGATGGTGGAACAACGACTGCTTGTTGATGCTCGTGGCTCAGAACTCTTATGTCTCTCCCTCCACCCTCCCCCCTTTCCCCCCAACGCTATCCCCTTCCCCTTCTGCCTTCAGATGGTGGAACAACGACTGCTTGTTGATGCTCGTGGCTCAGAACTCTTATGTCTCTCCCTCCACCCTCCCCCCTTTCCCCCCAACGCTATCCCCTTCCCCTTCTGCCTTCAGATGGTGGAATAACGACTGCTTGTTGATGCTCGTGGCTCAGAACTCTTATGTCTCTCCCTCCACCCTCCCCCCTTTCCCCCCAACGCTATCCCCTTCCCCTTCTGCCTTCAGATGGTGGAACAACGACTGCTTCTTGATGCTCGTGGCTCAGAACTCTTATGTCTCTCCCTCCACCCTCCCCCCTTTCCCCCCAACGCTATCCCCTTCCCCTTCTGCCTTCAGATGGTGGAACAACGACTGCTTCTTGATGCTCGTGGCTCAGAACTCTTATGTCTCTCCCTCCACCCTCCCCCCTTTCCCCCCAACGCTATCCCCTTCCTCTTCTGCCTTCAGATGGTGGAACAACGACTGCTTGTTGATGCTCGTGGCTCAGAACTCTTATGTCTCTCCCTCCACCCTCCCTCCTTCCCTCCCAACGCAATCCCGTTCCCCTTCTGCCTTCAAATTGCGGAACAGCGACTACTTCGTGGCGCTCGTGGTGGCGCACATTACCACTTCATGTGCGCCCTAATGCTAAGACCCACGTGCCATACCTACCCATGCCCCACCCCGTGCCTGTTCTCCCCGCTCTTCAGGTGGTAGAGCGCACGCTGCGCCTGTGGAACCATCACTACATCAAGGCTCTCGTGGCTCGGAATCACACCACCATCATGCCCCTCATCTTCGCTGCCATCATGCGCAACATCAATCGCAAGTGGAAGCACCAGGACAGCAAGGTATGGTGTGGGCAGTGAGGGTGGTGTAGTGCTTGGATTGTTTCTGAACTGTGGATGTGGCTGCAGCAAGGACTTCCTATGGCTGTAGCACGGACTGCATGTGGCTGTAGTAGGGACTGAAGCCACCGGAACAGTGTAGAGTGTGCGCAGTGAGCCCTGTGTAGTGCTTGGATTGCTTCAGAACTCAAATGAGCGATTGTTACAGCTGCAGGTGCAGTGCAGTGTAGGCTATGGCTGTAGCACGTGCTGTAGCCACTGGCTGACAAGTTGGCATTTGGAATTACCGAACCGAACCGGTTCGTAAACGAACCGATTTCTGGCCAGCTGGTTCAAGGTTCGTTAATTCATATAACGAACCAAACAGATTCGCCCTAACTGGTTTGGTTTGTTACCGAACTGGGCTGGTTCGGTTTTGCACATGAATTTTGCTTTAGTCACATCGTCTCTGGGAGAATTTCTCAAAGTCCCTTTTTCCAACAAAGTCCAGATCTACTCACAGAAACAGATTGCTCGCAACCCTAAGTGGAACCAGCTGGTATATCGGTAAAGGTATCCCAAATAGGACAATTCTGGCAATCCTCATCTTCCTCCTTCCTGCCTACATTCACAATCAGTTTGGTCCCATGGGGTGGGTGGTGTGAAAAGAACGGCCAAACTAAAAACACCACCTGGAACCGTATCATTATGTTTTCACTGTTAATAATAATAGTAATAGTAATAGTAATAATAATAATAATAGCAGCAGCAGCAGCAGCAGCGGCGGCGGCGGCGCAGCAGCAGCAGCAGCACCAGCAACAACAACAATAATAATAATAAGAGAAACACAATAAGTTTTATTTATTTATTTTTTGGTTCTCGACACCCTGAGCCACTAGAATCAGGTAGGGTGCAGTGGTCCTGTTCTAGTGACCAGTTTGCCTGTCAAACGAGCAATGGTGCAAATGAATCCCAAAGGTGGTTCTTGCAGCTGCAGGTAGGGATGAGCAAAAAAACGAACACCTGTTCGGTTCGCCTCGAACGTGGTAATTTTTTTTGGCTTAAAGTGTTCGCCGAACAGTGTTCGATGTTCGCCCGAACACGTTCGTGTTCGGGCCGCTGCTGCAATTTGCCCCGCGAGGAACACGAACGTGTTCGAGGTTCGCCCGAACACGCCTTCACAGGCGAACGGCGAACACCATTTTATGCTCAAAGTGTTCGCCGAACCGAATAGTGTTCGGTTCGGCAGACGGCGGTGTTCGTGTAGGGGCGAACACGAACGTGTTCGTGTTCGCCCCTTGCTCATCCCTAGCTGCAGGTACAGGGTGGGCCATGGCTGTTACACAGAGTGAAGTCACTGGAACGAGACAAGGCGACAGCTGCAGTAGACATGGGCAGAGGAGTCAAGTCTTGATCCCACGTTGACTCTCTTGACGTTTGGGGTTTATGCATTGCTGTACCGTTTAGTTGAGGGCAAGCTGGTGAGTTGCTTGACTTCGTTCGAGCTGCGACGACTTGAGGTGACAAGCAAAATCGGCTCCAATAACTCGATTAATGGGGGAATCTATTCCACATTGTCCTCAGTAATACACCCAACCACCATAAGCCATTACTTGCCACTAACCTAACTTCTCAGTTCTAGTGTGCGGGTTTTGTTTTATTATGTTCTTTGAATTCAACAACTTAACACCTGGCCGTGGAAGTATACATGGCCTAAAACGCCATTGCCCAAATGCCATTCCCTCAACCTCCTTGTTCACCTTTACTCTCATTGTTTGAGATTATTGGGGCTCCTTCTACTTGTGTCTCCCACGTTTTTCATTACCTCCTCATCTTGCACCCAATGTGACTCGTAACGTGTAAGCTCATTATGAGCCATTACATGCTTGTCTGTCCTTGCCAACTTAACCCTCTCCCATCGCATCTCCTTTTGCTTCTCCCACATAACCCCACGTCTCCATCGTCTCTCCTATACATGGTCAAAGTAACGAGTCGAGCAATACTCGACTCGTCCATGGTCTTGCTCGACGAGCTTTTGCTCCGAGTCGAGCAAAACTCTGACGAGCAATTTTCAGCATTTTGCATACTCGGGACTCGTCGTTTTAGGGCATGCTCGGGCGAGTTTAGGGGAAAGCTCGTCCGAGCACAAGACATGCTCGACTCGCCACTCGCAAGCACTAAGTTTCCACGGACGCGTCCAACTAGCTAAGTGGGGATTATTGGAGTAGACTAGCGGGGGAGGGAAGGAGGTTGTGTGATGGGCCATAGGCTGGCAAGCGCAAGAAACGATGTGGCTTTCTGAAGTGACGGGATCTGAATCTGGATCTTGAATCTGGATCTGGTGGTTGGGTTTTGTAGATTCAGTGCGGTGAAGAGAGGTAAGTGGTGGCGAATTGGTTGGGAAATCAAGTGGCAATTTAGTTGGAAAGGCATATTCGTTTTGTCCGACCAAAAGAAAGATCTGAGCGTAGTGATTGACACGACCAGTGGCAGTCTCCGTAGCGCAATTGCTGGCGAACCCCGCGGATTGACGGGCGAAATCACCGATCCGCGCGGATTGACGGGCGAAATCGCCGATCCGCGCGGATTGACGGGCGAAATCGCCGATCCGCGCGGATTGACGGGCGAAATTGCCGATCCGCGCGGATTGACGGGCGAAATCGCCGATCCGCGCGGATTGACGGGCGAAATCGCCCGCGAGTAAAAAAAACTCGTCGAGCACGTAATCTCCACGAAAATGCTCGTCCCTCAAGGCGAGCAAGCGACGAGTAGATAAAACTCGTCGAGTAAAACTCGCCTCGCCTCGGGCGAGTTTTTTTCCCAAAAAACCAGGCTCGTCATTCGTCCCCCAACGAGCATTTCGAACGAGTCGAGCAAATACCCTACACTCGTTGCCCATGTATAGTCTCTCCAATTGCTCACCCTCAACAACCCCCTCCTCCTCTCCATCCTCTCCTGCTCTGCTCACCCTCATATCCCCCCTCCTTACTCTCCTCTCCGCCCTTGTCTCTCTCCTCTCCCCCCTCCAATCTCTCCTCTTCCCCCTCCAATCTCTCCTCTCCCCCTCCTCTCTCCCCTCTCCTCCTCCTTTCACTCCTCTCCCGCTCCTCTCTCTCCTCCCCCCTCTTCTTTCTCCTCTCCCTTTCTTCTCTCTCCTCACCCCCTCTTCTCTCTCCTCTCCCCATTAGAGATGAGCATTTGCCCCGCTCGGGTCGGGCCGGCCCGACCCGACCATGGGTTTAGCACGGGTCGGGTCAGTGGTTTCATTTTCCTGCCCCGTACAGGCCGACCTGACCCGACCCGAGCAAAAACCCGACCTGAGCATGGAACTCGGGCCGGGCCGGGTCGGGTTTCTAGGTCATAATGTTGCCGAGGGGTTTTTTATCCCCTCGATAGCAAAGCTTACCCAATCTCAATCTTGCCTAACGGCAGCAGGCACAAGCTACACGTTTTACTAGTGTGACTTCAATTCACAAGCTAAACGCCTCGTCTTAGGCCAATTGTTGCTCATAGGCGCACCAGCACATACCATTGCAACATTTTGTAGAGGTTCTTAGGGGCCGCGTGCAGGGTTTAGGGGCGGGTCAGACTGGCCCGACCCGACCCGACCCATGAACGGGTCCCAGTTGACCCAAGGGCCAAGGGTGTAGGCCCGGGCCGGGCCAAAATCATTCAGGAACCTGGCCCGAGCCTGGCCCGACCCGGGAGCCCGTGTAGCCCAGCCAGGTCGGGTCGGGTCGGGCCGGGCCAGGCCATTTGCTCATCTCTACGCCCCATCCTCTTTCTCATCCCTCCTTTCTCTCGCCTCCCCCTCCTCTCTCCCCCCTCCCCATCGTCTCTCTCCTCTCCCCCTCCTCTCTCTCCTCTCCCCCTCCTGCCTCTCCTTTCCCCTTCCTCTCTCTCCTCTCCGCATGCTCCCTCTCCACTCTACTTCATCTTCCCCCTCCCCTCCCTCCTTACCTCCACTGCGCAGACAGACTTGGAATGCAGTAGAAGAGTCTAGCGAGTGTAGCTCGTACATGTAGTCTCGCTGTGCGCGCTCATCCCAATGAGTAGTCATTTTCGAGGTGGAAGAGAAGGTTTGGAAGAAATCCACTCCTTTGCACTGACTGAAGTTTCTGCCCGGAATGACTCCCAGCTCCTACAAACCCCAACAGTCGAGGTACAGTGATGTAGAACAGTGCCACACTGCCCCCAACCAAGAAGGGTCTCGAGACTACACACCACAAGGGCCTACACCAACTGAAATGTTACACTACACAAAGTAATGAGAACCTAAGCTTAGAATCCATGCATTAGTAATGAGCTTGAAGCTCTTTAAGTGCATCCAGGATGGGCCAGGTATGGATGGGGAAAGGAATCGGGGGCAATCTCTAAGGATTGGGGGTAATTTCAAGGCAATCTCCAATTTGAAGATGACATTTGAATCTGGTTGGGACTTGTAGGTGTACACCCAGCCAAACACAAAGTGCAAACTACACAACGCTAGGATTAGGGATGAGCAAAAAAACGATCGAGGCGAACCGAACAGGTTAAAATTTTGGGCTTAAAGTGTTCGCCGAACAGTGTTCGATGTTCGCCCGAACACGTTCGTGTTCGGGCCGCTGCTGCAATTTGCCCCTAGACGAACACGAACGTGTTCGAGGTTCGCCCGAACACGCCTTCATAGGCGAACGGCGAACACCTGTTTTTGCTTAAGGTGTTCGCCGAACCGAACAGTGTTCGGTTCGCCAAACAGGGGTGTTCGTGCATGGGCGAACGCGAACACGTTCGTGTTCGCCCCTTGCTCATCCCTAGCTAGGATATAGAAAGTACAAAATACATAGTGTGAGATTGAGGGCTTGATAATTCACATGCCATCGACTATGTTCGCCCCGGGAGAGAGACTCCGTCGACATACGTGTCTGTGGACCCCCAAGATGTCGTCTTTGCGTCCATGGCTGCTATCTACTCAGAGACCCACTGTCCCGACACTGCCTCAGCATAAGTACAAGGAGCCTGTGGTAGTGGCTGCTGCGGCGTCTGTAGTTGTTGTTGCTGTTGCTGCTGCTGCTGCTCCTGTCGCTCCTGCTCCTGTCGCTCCTGCTCCTGCCGCTCTAGCTGCCGGAGATGCCGAAAACGCGTCAGATAACGGGGGTTGGGCGAAGCAAGTGACAAGTACCTCCAACTCCAGCACCCCCAAAACCAGCACCTTCGACTCCAGCACCCAGCACCTCCAGACGCACGACCTCCAATGCCAGGACCTCCAACTCCAGCACCCCCTAGAACTAGCACCTCCAGTGCCAGTATCGCCAACTCCAGTACCCTCAGACTCAGCACCATCGACTCCAGCGCCCCCCACCCTAGCACTCCCAGTCGTACAACCTTCAGTGCCAGAACCTCCAACTCCAGCACCCCCTCGAAGCAGCACCTCCAATGCAAGTACCGCCAACTCCAGTACCCTCAACTCCAGTACCTCTAGCTCCAGCACCTCCAGAGTCCACTGCAACATGCCGTGGTTGTACCAAAGGCTGCTGCAATGACTGTGAAGACCATGTGAGGGACTATGGTGAAGGAGACGATACCTGGCATGCTGCCGAGGGAGTAGGGGTAGTGTGAGACACACTTGACGAGGCAGGACCTGGGTGGGGTAAACGTACCAAATGAGTAGGAGCAGGGGGAGGAGTGGGGGCAAGGAAGAGGGAGAGGGAAGGAACGGGGAGACCTCAGTGGGGGTAACGGACGTCGAAGGATTACACAAGAGTCGAAAAACCGGTGGAGGGGGTGAGAGGTAAACCTTGAAGTCAGGGGTGTCAACCAAGAAACCAAGAAAAACACAGGGGAGGGTGCGAGCCGAGAGCTTTTCCGCGGTGGTGTTGCGAACATGTGCAAGGTAGGCCCAAACACAACACCCCGACACGACACGTGGGGACCCAGTCTAGAAGAGTGATGTGTTGCTTTTGAGGTGCCTCCAAAATGGGCTGAATGCATGCGGTGCTGCTCTTACTCCCCTCCTTCATTTCGCTACCATTTTTCCCCCTCACCCACTCTTCTGCATCCTCCATCTCTATCTCCTCTACCTCTCCTCCACGCCTCTCCCTCCTCTCCTGCAGTTCTCCAATTCCCTCCTCTTTCAGACTACTTATCCCTCTCCTTCCCCCCCGTTCATCCCTCCCCCTCCTCTCCGCCCAGGCGGTGAACAGCTTGGCCACCAAAGTGCACGATACGTTTCTCGAGAGGAGAGCGGACGAAGTGCTCTACAACGACTGCATGCGCCTGTTCCTCGAAGAAGGGGGTATGACAACGATATTCTTTACTGATTAATCTCGAATGGACTGAGGTATTACATACGTAGAGAGATAGAAGAGGTGTGAGGATCAATAATGGTTGGTCAACATCATTGCTGTTCTGATCATGGTTGATGGTTGCATCTTGATCAGCATGATAGAAAACCCAACTTAACTAAATATCAACCGCAAAGTGTGGTTGGAATTTTTCCCAGGTCGGGTCAGGACATTCAATGTCCTGGCACGGCCAGGTCGAGTCGGGCCGGCCCCGGCAAAAATACCCGACCCGATGTTGAATTTCGGGTTGGGTCGGGTTGGGTCGGGTTTCGGGCTGACTGTGACTCGACCCGGAATCGGGTAAAAAACAGGGCAACCGGCTCGGCCTTGACCCGACCCGGTTTTGTCATCCAAGCAGGTGCGCTTCATCCATCCAAACATCATGCCTCCTGCTCCCACTGCCCTTGTTCCATGGCACCCTTGCTCCCTCCTGTGCTTTCTCTTCTCCCTACTTCCTCGCCTCACTTTCTTTTCTTCATTCCTGCTTTCCACTCAGGTGGTTTCTTCCTGCCTCTGCGCGTGCATGCGTGGGTGTGTGTGTGTGTGTGTGTGTGTGTGTGTGTGTGTGTTTGTGTGTGTGTGTGTGTATGTGTGTGTGTGCGTGCGTGCGTGCGTGCGTGTGTGTGTGTGTGTGTGTGTGTGTGTGTGTATGTGTGCGTGTGCATGCATGTGTGTGCATGTGTGCATGTGTGTGCATGTGTGCGTGTGTGTGTATGTGTGCGCACTGGTGCATGCGTTGGGCGGCGAGCAGCAAATGAGGGCGGTGGAGGAGCGGTCGCGAGTGGAGAAGGACGAGCTCAGGCGGGAGATGACAGAGCAGCAGCAGCGCATGCAGAAAGTGCGCCACCACACTGCCTGCTCCACTTCACACACTGCACCGTACTCTACCGCATTCAACATCCATACCCTCACAGCTCTCACCGTATCCTTCCTTCACCGCCCACCATCTACTATCCCCCTCACTCACTTCCTGATTCGTCCTCTTACCCGTATCCCCTGCCTCTCCCACATCCCCCCTCCTCCTTTCCTCTCCCCCACACCACCCCACCACCCCACGGACCCACGTGGGCGTGCGGGCATGCGAGGCGAGCAGGAGCTGGAGGGCATAGCGCACCGCGACGCCTTCCTGCAGCAGCTGCAGGAGGAGGCCGCGCTCTCCGCCTCCGCGCTCAAACAGGCCGCCAGGGTGGGTGGGCTGGGGGGGAAGGGCTAAAGGGGAAGGGCGTTTCGCCTCACAAGGGTTGTGCTGCGCTGCCCGATGGGGTGGGATGGGGTGGGATGGGCATTGGTGGCGCGGGTAGGAAATCACTTAGATGACTGAGTGCCGGCATGTTCCAGCAGCAGTGCATATTTCTCCATGCCTTACACCCTGCTTCTTAGTCGTTTGCATCCTCATCCTCTCGCCGCGGTGACAGGAGCTGGCGGAGGCGCGCATGGCGGTGGAGGAGATGGCGGGGCGGGTGGAGGAGCGGCTGGAGAGCGAGGTGCAGCGCAAGGAGCAAGAGATGCAGCAAAGTCGCCAGGAGGCGGACGCTGTCAGGGCGCAGCTCAAAGCCACCCAGCAGGTCAGGGCGTAGCTCAAAGCCACCCAGCAGGTAGGCAGGGCGAGCGGCCATGGAGGGGCGAGCGAGGGGGTCAATTGGCGTATGAGTGGGTGTGTGTGCGGTGAGAAGTTGGGTGAGGGTGTCAACCTGTTCATCCCGGGATGAGCCTTGTCCTGCCCCACTGTCTTGCTGCCCGTCACATCACCCCAACCTCTCCTCCCCTCTGTTCATGGGTCCCTGGCCCCAGGCGTTAGAGGAGGCAGCGCAGCAGGCGAGGGAGGCGCAGGCAGGGAGGCAGCAGGCGGAGGCGGCGGCAGAGGAGGAGCGGGCGGCGGCAGCAGCGGCGGTGGAGGGGCAGCAGAGCGCAGAGCAGCGCCTGAGGGAGGCGCAGGCGCGCGTGCAGCTGCTGGAGGGCGAGGTGGTGTCGCTCAAGGTGAGGCAAGGTGGTGTGGGGTCGCTCAACCGTGCTGCCAACACTCGCAAGGTCAGACCGTGCTGCCAACACTCGCAAGGTCAGACCGTGCTGCCAACACTCGCAAGGTCAGACCGTGCTGCCAACACTCGCAAGGTCAGACCGTGCTGCCAACACTCGCAAGGTCAGACCGTGCTGCCAACACTCGCAAGGTCAGACCGTGCTGCCAACACTCGCAAGGTCAGACCGTGCTGCCAACACTCGCAAGGTCAGACCGTGCTGCCAACACCCGCAAGGTCAGACCGTGCTGCCAACACTCGCAAGGTCAGACCGTGCTGCCAACACTCGCAAGGTCAGACCGTGCTGCCAACACTCGCAAGGTCAGACCGTGCTGCCAACACTCGCAAGGTCAGACCGTGCTGCCAACACTCGCAAGGTCAGACCGTGCTGCCAACACTCGCAAGGTCAGACCGTGCTGCCAACACTCGCAAGGTCAGACCGTGCTGCCAACACTCGCAAGGTCAGACCGTGCTGCCAACACTCGCAAGGTCAAGCAACGTAGCTGACATCACTTGGACATCCTAGGGTTGGGCTGAGCTCAATGTCGTGAGCTGTGAAATTGCATTTGGGGGTTGGGTTGTGTAGATCCAGTGTGGTGACGAGTGGTAAGTGGCGGCGAATTGGTTATGATTTTTTGTTTCAACAAATTTGATGGGGAGAGGGGGGTGCCTGGCTTCCTCACAGCGAAATCAGCAGTGAACACGTAATTGCATTAGTGACACTTCACACCCCCTACTGCTTTTTTCATTCTTGCTGAAAAAACAGTAATGCTTGTAACCGAAGTGCATGAGGTTTTTCTGGTTTGCCAGGATGACTTCTTGACATGGGGGCGAGTTAGATCTAGATTTAGGGATTTAAAGATAGTAATCAGGTCCACAAGGAGAAGATGTCGCAAACGTCGACCTCATTCTCTTTCGTACATCGGGTTCGGGCCGAGATGCAATGCGGTAGTGCGCAGTTGTGAAGATATTTTGGGTTGGGAGTGATTCTGCTTGGCAAATGGACCACACCCGCCATCCGGGCAGATGGAGCTGCTGAATGGTCATTTGTAGCCGTGTGTTTTCAATACCATGGCAAAGAATCCCAAGAAAGTAGGTAAGCCGGGTTTCATGCGTGCATGAAACTCTTGCTAGGAGATCAGATCCGTCACTGGGACATTGCACATCTGTTTTTATTAATGTTTCTACTTGTTTTCGTTTATAGGTGATCACCAAATTTTTAGGTGTACGTCCCCTATCCTTTAGTAGCACTGAGATATTAATAACGGTGTAATTAAAAGTTTAAGTTTTCTTCCGTTTCTTGTTTTATTGCTCATTCTTGTCTTTAAACATTGCAATAATTTGTTTCTAATAATTTATGGGATTTTTATGTGATAATCTACTTCAGCTAGTGTTTTTTATTGAACACAACTTTGGTTTAAATTTGGGTGGCTTTGGGGTGGAAGAGGCAATATTTTGTTTTTACGCCCCTCCAAAACTGTTTGGATCAGGGGTGGCAGAGCCAAAAGGTCTTTTTTGAGGTGCTGTCATTTGGATTCAGAAAAAGGTCTTTTGGAGGTGCCTGAGAAATCGTTTGGAGTTTTGGTGGCAAAGCTAAATGGTCGGTGAACTGGTTTGCTGGTTAGCCAGAGATAGTAGAAATTTCGTCTCCTTGTAGACCACGCATTTGGCTTTGATCCCAATGTTGCATCATTTGTCCCCGAAGCCATCGTGGGTGGCGGTCCTTCCTGGCCCTTACTGTACTAGAATATGTGTGGTGGGTATTCCAGGCACCTTACTCTGCTCTATGTCTCGCTTTCTCTCTCATCCCCTCCTCTTCCTTTACAGAAGCTCCCTGTGAGAAGGATTTAGCAGCAGCAGGGGCAGCAGCAGGTTTTGAATCAGTTGCACCACCACCATCACCATCAGCAGCAGCATCAGCACGAAGGGAGCAGTGTGGTGGAGTTGTGGTGGAGATGGAAGTAGCACAGCCATACGTCTGTCAAGAATACTCTCTGGCAGATCTGACAAAGGCCACAGGAGAGTGGGCAGAGGGGAACAGGATAGGAAGTGGCGGCTTTGGGGCTGTCTACAAGGCTGTTTCTCCCCACGATTGCAATCAAGCTTGGGCAGTCAAACGAGCTCGAGTGCTCACAAACGACTTCCAGAGAGAGGTAAGTCGGCTTTGAGAATCCTAAAAAACGACCAGCACAATTGAATTCAAGAGGTAGGTATCATATTGTGAGTTTTGGTTGGTTGGTTGGCTGGATTCTTGTGCCAAGTCTCGACACTTGAATGTTCATTGGATTGTTCCTTCTCCTTTCATCTGTTCGCCATCTTTTCCCCCCCATCAGGTGAAAGAGTTGGCAAGCAAGAACAATCCGCATCTCCTGCGCCGCATCTGTTGGGCTACTGCACTGAATTCAGTGTGAACAAATGGCGCTCTCAGTATTCACATCTCTCTCCATGCTTCATCTCGTGTTCCTCCAGGTGAAAGAGATGGCAAGCAAGCACCATCCGCATCTGGTGCGTCTGTTGGGCTATTGCATCGACTTCAACCCGTCCACACGAACCATGGAGCAGCTTCTTGTCTATGAGCTCATGCCCAACGGCGACCTTGACCGTTGGATCGGTCCCGGTGTCTCCAGCCCTCTTTCGCTGCAACAAAGGCTGGACGTTCTGATTGGAGTGGCCAAGGGGTTGCAGTACCTTCACGACTTTAACATTGTGCATCGCGACATCAAGCCGGCCAACATTCTCCTTGATGGAAAAATGCAGGCATGCTCAAAACATCAAAGCCGGGTTGCATGTGGAAGAAGGTGCTTTGTTTATCCGTTTTGTTCATATTTTTCTACCATCATGGGATATTTTGAACAGGCCAGCATAGAGTCACGTCACTAAATCACCTGTTGCATGATGATGCTGTTGTGGTTGATGATGGGCAGGCAAAGTTTGCCAACATTGGTCTTTTGAAGCTGTGTGGTTTCGAGGCGCCTCAAAGCTAGATTCATGTTGCATGATGATGCTATTGTTGTGGTTGATGGTGGGCAGGCAAAGGTTGCGGACTTTGGGCTCGTGAAGCTGCTTGGAGGGACATCTGTGGCCATATCTGAGGCTGCCACTCGGCTGGTGGGAACACTGGGCTATATGGACCCTGAATACTGCAGCTCTCACAAGCCTTCTCTTGCTGTCGATGTGTACAGGTGAGTAGATTGCCACAGCATGGGTAAGCACATTGGTGCAGGTCAGAAGATTGGTACAGGTGAGCAGATTGGGACGAAATAAAAGTCTCCGGGTTCTGTGTTTTTTTTACCTTCACCGTGTTTTTTTTTGCCTCGTTTCTTAGTGGCTGTCCGTGGCTGACATTTGAGGCATGCTTGCCATGCCTGACCAATCAAAGGCTCTGAAATTCTTGGCCACTTTAGGATGGGGGTTTGGGACACAAGTATTGTGAAGGTCATATTGATGATCTTTTTTCTATGGAGACTGTCCAATGCGTCACACGTGAGCATCGTTTCACATATGACGTCCTTTCTGGGTGCCTTGATTGCAGTTTTGGCGTGGTGATGCTGGTGGTGCTTACGGGGCGCAAGGCTGTGCTTGTTATAGAGGACGACCACGTCAACATCAAGAGACGGGTGAGGCATACCTCACACAAAGCCTAAAAAACGTCCAAATGGGGCACTAACACCATTTTGCTAAGTTCAAGTGCACTTCCGCAACTACACACGTTGAATAGGTTTACTTGCTTACCACCTTGACCGGAAACGTGTAGGCTGGTTCATGTGATCCTCTCTTCCTTTCTCCACAGGACACATGCCATATTGAGCAAGGTGAGTATTACGATGATATCTTGTTTCACCCTGCACCTGTCACACAATCAGCTATCCTATCCTACTGCTGTCTACCTTGTTGCTCCTCTCCCTAGCGCAGGCTCTTTCAAACCGCACACCCTTATTTCCAATCACTCACCCATCCCATGCGTCTACATCCTCCTCGTTAATACACCGTTTTCCTGCTACCTATACTCTTATTGTAGTGTATAGACAGATTCGCTCTTCATGCAACACTCTGCTTTTAAAAAGCCTTTTTCGTATGCCAACTCAATTTCAACCTGGCAGGTAGCCCCACTGGTGATCTCTGGAGCAGTGGCAGAATTCAAGGACCCTCGTTTGGAAGCACCGGATGGTTTGGTGCTGCACTTGGCTCGCCTTGCCCTCTCGTGCACACTTCCTGGGGTTTCCCGTCCCTCCATGCTCCAAGTGCTTGCTGAGCTGGTGAGGATAAAGCAGGAGATGTTTGGGGTGCGGGTGAGCGCGGAGGTTTCTGGCATCGACACGGAAATTGGAGGTTCTGATGGCTCATATGACTTCAGTGCTGAGATGGCCCGTGCAATGCAAGAGGCTGTTAGTGGCCCTCAACTTCCTATCGTTCCATAGGATAGGAGTAGTAGAACGTGCACCACTTTTGAGGCACCTCAAGGGTCCTCTGTCAGCACGCCGTAAGGGTACATGTGCTCCACTGGTATATATTTAGCACTGGTATATATTTAGTATCCTGTTTAACTCTGCTCATGTAGTTTCTGAAATCTGTCCCCCATATTGGATTTTACGAGATATACCGGATTTGGGGTGACCGTTGGGTAACAATCGTGACTGTTTATCGCCTTCGCTCTACTGGTCGGGATGGGAACTTGGGGTTGCGCGAAAATTTACTAGCTGGAACGAAAGGAAACAGGTGAGAAGTGATGTGGCGAAAACAACGAAACGAGGGCGATGGAACCAGGCGAGAAGGAATTGCGCGGGAAAACGTGCTGAATGCTGCTGGCTGGTTGTGCTGCGAACTCTCAGTCGTCGGAGCTCAAATGTGATCATCCAAAGCAGTCCAGTCCAGGATCCTACATGCCTGATGCGCGAGCGAGCCCTATTCTTGGGAGCCGCAAGACGTATTTATCAGTTCATAGCATATCTTTTGGGAAGCCAGCCGTTTAGAAGTCCGAAGCTTGGCGAGTTCGGGGTAGACCTATTCTCGCGATTTGGGTTCCAACATGACCAGAAAGCTCCTCGCCTATGAATTGCTATTGCTGCCTGACTGAAACCAAACGGCGTTGCAATGTCGTGCCGATATTAGCTAACGGTTAGGGTTCCACATGCAGGAAGTTGCTTAGCATGCTTGAGTCTTTTAAAAAGGCGTTTGTAAGGAGTCGGGAAAAGCAGGGTACTAAGACAGACGCAGCGTCGCACAATGCAGGCAATGCAGCAGCTGCGGCAATCGCCGCTTCGGGGGGAGCGGACGCCGGAAAGGCGGAATGCTCGCATCCGTCTCCAGACGGCACGAATCCAACGGCTCCCGCTCGTCGCGACCCGAATGAAGAAATTGCGCAGGCGAGCTTGCCGCCTTTCGCGGAGCCGCTCCCGCTGTTATCAGACGTGGGTGCGCAGGAGAAGCAGGCCCTATTCATCCGGAAGCTTCGCCTCTGCAGTTACCTGTTCGATTTTAACGACCCCATGAAAAACGTGGAGGAGAAGGAGATTAAGCGGCAAACGCTGCTGGAGCTAGTCGACTACGTTAATTCCGGAACCGTGGAATTCAACGAGGCAGTATTCGAAGACATAACGCGCATGCTGGAGATTAATCTCTTCCGGCCGTTACCGCCGTCCGCGCACGCGATTTCCGGGACGGAATGTAAGGACCCCCAGGAGGAGGAGCCGACTATGGAAGCCGCGTGGCCGACTATGGAAGCCGCGTGGCCGCACCTGGAAATAGTCTATGAGTTTTTGCTTTGGTATGTCGTCTCTATAGACACCGACCAGAAGGTTGCGACGCGTTACATCGACCAGAAATTCATCTTAAAGCTGCTGAACCTGTTAGACTCGGAGAACCCGCGCGAGCGGGAGTGCGTGAATACCAGTCTGAGCCGGATATTCGATAAGTTCGTGGTTCACCAAGCGTTCATCCGCGAAGCGATTGGCAACATTGTTCACCAATTTATCGAGTCGGAGCGGCATAACGGCATCGCAGAGGTTTTGGGGTTTTCTAGGATCGTTTTAGTAGACGAATTTGTGCTGCCGCTTGGGGAGCAGGATGAGGAGTTCCTAGACCGAGCGCTGGTTCCGCTGCACAAGCCGAGGTGCCTGCCTATGTACCACCAGCAGCTGTCATACTGCATCACTCAGTTTGTGGAAAAAGACCCGAAGCTCGCAGAATTGGTGCTGCGTGGGCTGCTTATGTTCTGGCCCTCAACTAACAGCCAGAATGAGCTGCTTTTCCTGGAGGAGTTGGAAGAAATCTTGAAGCTGACCCAGGCGCCCGAGTTTCAGATGGTCATGACGCCGCTGTTCCAGCAGATTGCGCGCTGCCTCAGCTCCCAGCACTCTGAGGTAAGGTGATACGGGAGGGGGTGTATCGGGCTGTGATGCGGCGGTTCGTGGGGATGTGATACAGTGGTCGGGTGTGAGAGGATGTGGCGAGAGGAGGTGTGAGTGGGTGTCATGGCAAGCATTTTCATGCAGAAACCGCTGGTCATGATGGTCATGATGCCGCTGTCACAGCTCCTCGCACGACGCTCCCGCTCAATCACAGGTATGGTGTGGTGCGGTGCGGTGTAATATGGTGTGATATGGCGCGAGCATCCTTGCTCAAGAACACGAGCATGATACGGTGATGGGGTGTGAGGAGGTGTGAGGGGGTGGGGCGCATCGCGCAAGCTTCTGACTTCCAGGTAAACATGATGCCTCTCTTTCGGCGTGCGCTGCCTACAGCGCACTTCCAATATGTTCCTGAAATCACGAGTTTTTGTATTTCAGTTTTGATGCTTTGAATACGTTAGTATTGTATAGCATTCCATGTTGGGGGGGGGGGGGGGGGGGGGGGGGGAGGGAGTGGGGGCGGAGGGGGGGTGGGCGGGGAAGAGCGGGGTTAAGCATTCTCAGAAACAAACTGACAGCGACCAGAGTTGAAATAAAGAGAGCGGGGCTCGCTTCTTTTTGCTAACTATTTACGGTGCGACATTAGGGTTTGGCCGATGTGATGGTCGTTGACTGTCTGACGTATCATGTGACGCCACCTGTGGACCCTTCCTTTGGCCCACTTATGTCACATTTCACATTCCATGCCCCATATATGCACCCCGCCACCCCTCCACCCTCCCCCTCCTCCGCCCCGTTCCCCTTTCCCCCATGCAGGTGGCGGAGCGCACGCTGCTCCTGTGGAGCAACGACTACATTGTGGCACTCATGGTGCAGAACCATTGCGTCTGTTGCTCACACACCATGCCCCACATATATACTCTACCCTCCTCCCCCGTCAGGTGGCGGGGCGCATGCTGCGCCTGTGGAACAACGACTACATTGTGGCGCTCGTGGCTCAGAACCGCACCACCATCCTGCCTCTCATCTTTGCTGCTCTCGAGCGCAACGCTGAAAGCCACCTGAGTCAGGTATAGTATGGGCATTGATCCCTGTGTAGTGCTTGGATTGCTTCTGAAGTGTGGCTGTGGCTGTAGCACTGACCGCCTATGGCTGTAGGAGGGACTGAAGCCACTGGAACCAGGTAGAATGTGGCCAGTGGTTGTAGTACTGATTGCTTCTAAACTAAAACGGGCGGTGTAGGGAAATTGCTGGTGCAGTGTGTGTAGGCTGTTTGCACAGGCTGTAGCACACAATGTAACCACCGGAATCATGTCGGATGCAGTGATTCCGTTTAGTGACCGGCTTGTCTCTGAGATGCACAATGGTACAAGTAAATTACGGCACAGTGGTTCGTGCAGCTGCAGGTATAAGATGGGGTGGGCTATGGCTGATGCACAGAATGAAGCCACTGGAATCAGACAGGGTGTCAGCTGCAGTAAACACGAGCACAGGAGTCAAGTCTTGATCCCACACCGACTCTCCTACTCGATGCGACTTGACTTGTTGGGGTTGATGCATTGCTGTACCGTCAGTCGAGGGCAATTCAGTGAGTTGCTTGACTTTGTTTGAGCTGCACTGACTTAAGCTGACAAGCAAAACTGGCCCCAATAGCTCGACTAGTTGCCTGCGTTTGATTTCCAGGGGGAATCTTTCCCATGTTGTCCTCACTAATAGGCCTAACCATAGCCCATTACTTGCCACTAACCTTACTCCTCATATCTAGTGTGGATGTTTTTGTTTTGTTTTTGTGTCCCGGTTAAAAAATCCTCCACCTGGCCGGCCAAGGTTACAAGACCTACAAAAGTCATTGCCCAACTAAGGATCCTTCATTTCCTCAACCTCCTTGTACACTTTTAGTTTCATCCCCTGAGGTTACTGGGGCTTCCTTGGGCTGTGCATGCGACGTTCTTCACTACTTCATCATCTTGCCGCCGATGGGGCTGTTAACGTGTGAGGTCATTTTGAGCTTGTGCATGCTTGTCCTTGTCAACTTAACCTTCTCCCATCGCATCTCCGTTCTCCTACATATCTCCAATTCTGCTCTCTCTTCCCTCTCATTTTTCAACTTCAAATCCCCACCTCTTCTCCGTCCATCCTCTCCCGCTCTGCTCACCCACCCCCTCTTTCCTCTCCCCCTCCTCCTCCTCCTCCTCCTCCTCCTCCTCCTCCTCCTCCTCCTCCTCCTCCTCCTCTCACCCTCTTCTCTCTCCTCTCCCCCTCCTCTTTCTCCTCTCCCCTTCCTCTCCCACGCTACTCTCTTTCATCTTCCCCTCCCTCCTATCCCCACAAATGTGCTTGCCATGAACGGAAAGATATGTTTCTGGAGATGGACAAATGGCGGAGATGTTCATGATAATTGCCAGCAGAAAATCCTCCCCTGCCCAGTGCATGAGTGTTGTGGTGCCTTTGAGGCGCCAAAAAATTCGATGCATGCACGCTGCTCTCCCTCCTCTTCCATGACCCACTGTCCCTCCTCTCCTCTCCTCCACTCTTCGACGTCTCTCCCTCCTCTCCAAGTCTACTTTTCCCCCTCACTCTCCCCGTTCCACCCACCCTCCCCACTCGTTTCTGCCCAGGCAGTGAAAGAGCTGTCCATCAAAGTTCGCGAGATGTTTCTCGAGATGGACGAGATGGACACGATTGCGACGATGATCGCGATAGCCGAGGAGGACGAGGGGTACGAGGAGGGCGAGGAGGGCGAGGAGTACGAGGAGGGCGAGGCTGGCGAGGAGGAGGAGGAGGAGGACGAGGAGGAGGAGGAGGACAAGGAGGACGAGGAGGACGAGGAGGACGAGGAGGACGAGGAGGACGAGGAGGACGGGGAGGACGAGGAGGACGAGGAGGACGAGGAGGATGAGGAGTGTTAGAATATAGCATAATGTATGTTTATATTTGTGCATGTGTTACACCCTAAAGTGGGTGTACACTTTGGGTCAAGGCGACCCAACCAATTTTGGTTGGGCGCCCCCAAACCCAACTCGACCGCAATTGACGGGGGGGGCCCAATAATGGTCCCCTCCAACGATTGT